AGCAACTGTAGTGGTAGTAGCAATAGTAGAAGTAGTTATAGTAGGAGTAGCAGTACTAGTGGTACTAACAGTAACAGCAGTATTAGCAGCATGTCATTGTTAAACTGAACATGAAACTTTGAAGAATTACCAGACTGATTTGTTGGAAAAGCTGAGGCTAAATAGGTTCATTTGTGGTTAAGTGAGTTGGGTAGAACGGGGTCCAAGTGAAGAGGGTGGACTTGGACTTGGCCATGACTAAACCAGGCCTGAACCATCTCTAATCCCCATCTCTTTGTCCCTCGGAGCTTGTCAGAACCACCCAGTTTAAAGTGAAGAACTAAACCCCCTTTTTCATCTTTTCCATTCATCGCTCCATAAATCTGCCACTAATGTTAGACCAATCAGGCGTCCAAGTCTTTAGCCGTACAAAACACGATATAAAAGCCGTTAAACGCACAAGTAGGAGAAGAGGAGAGAGAAAGAGGAGAGAAAAAGGAGAGAAAGAGGAGTGGAGGGCTGTGACAGTATGTTCGCTCTAGGCTTTACAAATCTGCAGTGACTGTATAGATGAATGCCTGAGGGCCTGAGAGCAGCAGCACCAGCAGCAGCCAGCCGCGGCCCTTATCTTAAATCCAAGCAAAGTACCATTAATCTTTTTCAAAGACCTTTATAGCTTTTAATGTATCCCAAATTAGAACATTTTACACCCTTGGTTCCTGAAATATGGTGATAAAAAGCCTTTAGAGTTTAATTTTTCCTGCCTGCTCGCTCTGACCTGCTTAATCCCGGCATGCATTAGGAGATATTTTAGTTTCAGCCTTTCTAATAAAGTTTATCCCACTTAATTATAATTGAAACATTTTTTTTTTCAAGCAGGTCTTTTTTTTTTCTTTCCGAGTGGCACCGTGGTGGTACATTTCTTCATTACCTTAAGACTCCCCTCGCCTCCCCCTCCCTCTCTCCTGATTGTGTTATTTGAATATTACACAGAATTACCCAATGGTTTGCTGAATTTGAACCATTCATCTACACATGCAGGTTTTGTGGCCCATTCGAGACCCAAAGTGGCCCTAACAAGCTCCTTTAGCTGCAACTGAAAGGAGTCTCGGCAAAGATTTAAATTAGATTAATATTCATTCCTTCATGATTTTGGCGCTTGGTGAATAAATGGGAGAGTGAATGGTTAATGTCTGTGTTAGTGCTGTGTTTGTTGAACTAGTGGTTGGACGTACCCCGCCCAAAGCCCACAGTTACCAGTGTAGCAACTTCAATGCCAAGCTGTAATTTATGACAGAATTACCTTTACTCCAATATAATTCCTCTACATTTTTTTCCTGATGCAGTTATAAAGCACTCATGACTCCATCTAGTGGATGTAAGGCAGAATAACTTTTGCGAACTGTTCATTGTTGCGCAAAAAGGATTGACGTTAAATGCGATGATGTTAGGTCCAATTACTGCTAACAATTTGTGTGTATTTTACTAGACAAATTCATAAAAGATGATTACAAAATGTGTGAAAATGGGCTATTGGTTTTGTTATGTTTATTTGACTGTTTAAAATAGCAATATTGTATTATATCTCAGTATTAAGTGTCTTTTAAAGCATATTGACAAACTTGAGTTGCTCATTACACCATCTAGTGGATATAAGGCAGAATAACTTTTGCAAATTGTTCATTGTTGCGCAAAGAGTATTGACAATAAATGTGATGATGTTCAGCCTAATTAAAGCAGCACAGTGTAACATTCTGTACGTATTTTATTCCCAAATTCATAAAAGATGATAACAAAATGTGTGAAAATGGGCTATTGGTTTTGTTATGTTTATTTGATTGTTTAAAATTGCAAAAAAAAAAAAAGTGTATTATATCTCCTTTTTATTAAGTGCCTTTTTAAGCAAATTGACAAACTTGAGTTGCTCGTGACTCCATCTAGTGGATGAAGCCTAGAATTACGTTTGCCTATTATGTATAGTTGCACAATTTATTATTTTTTTTCATTGGGTCATTTTGCTAAACTGACCAGATTTACTTCATAGAAACCATCTGACCTCGCAGCATTGGCGGGTAATTGACATATGCAATGTGCCGCTAACAGGACTAACTGGTATATTAAGCTTTTCCCAAATCCTGTAGGAAGAAGGGCAATAACGTCTTTCCCCTTGATGAAATTCACCAAACATTCTCTTTGTTCCAGCTTTAAATCCTTGATCTCGAGAATCGTTGCCAACACAGAATGTATGGCTCTTCACTGATTGGCTGGTACCCAAACTCACACTTCTGGGGTTCTTGCAAACCGTCTAGTGTATTCCGATTCCTGACCTTGTCACTGGAGAGAAATGAAATTAAGCAGAGGCACTAGATGGCACCAGCCTGGCTGTCATTTTGCAGCACTACAAAACAAAAACAAAACAGACCACAACTACATGGATCATGACAGAAAAGGTCCAAGCTGAAGCAAAAGTACCAAACCCTATTAAACAATAACAGAATTCCAAGAAGGAAAAGACAGCAGCACATGAACAACAAGTTTGCATTTACAACTGTACATATAAGAGAAAAAATACGAATTAAAACAAAAAAAATTAATGCATAATTTATTCATTCCAGAGCTTTATAACTTTCAAAACATAAAGCTTTATACTCATCTCTTAGGTTGTTCCATAAACTAACCCCTTGAACAGAAATGCAGTCACTTTTTTTCTTAGGTCTAATGATGCCAGCTTTGATTTGTTTTTTGTTTTTCGGTTATGGTCGTACAAACTAATAATAATGTTAACAAAGGCACAAAAGTTTATCATTTATTATCATAGAAAATAAACCGTAATGAGAATTTAAAAACTTAAGGATTTAAGGAAGTTATGTTTATACATATTTTGTTGTTTTGCTTGCTCCTACCAGCAATTAATTTAGTTGAAACTTGTTGAAAGATTGTTATTTTTCTGTACTAAAGCAGACTTATGTAGCTCATGACTTCATCTAGTGGTGGCAGAGTGATATAACATGTAGTATACGATGTGTTTTATTGTGTATACTGTGTGTATATTGTTATATTGTTGATGCTGAATTGTTCTTGTGTTGTTGCTGCTGTTGGTACATTCCTCCATCGCTTTAACTCCTCCCCCTCCCCCTCAGGTCTGCACCATGTCAATATTACACAGAATTACCCGAATGGTTGGCTGAAATAGTTCCAAGTTGTTTATGGAAGTTGTTTATTGCCTCAGTAGTAAACCTCATCTGGAGAGTGGAGCGGGGGAGCAGGATTTTCCCTTTGTTTCCTGTGCGTTGATGTGATGTGGGTTATTGGGATTATTCTGCCTCACAATGTGCACATGTCGGCGGAGGGATTTCGCTGTTTGCTCCTTGCTGTCACGGTCATTCAGTTCACTTTTGATTCGAGGGACTGCCTGGAGTACTGCGCTAACAGGGGTGGAGCGGTATCCCCCGGAGACCAAAGAAACATGTAGAAAATGCAGCTATGGCATAAATGCAGACTATTGTTTATCATACTTATTTCATTTGCACTTTAAACAAGGGGGAATAGAGGTAATGACAAAGAAAAACAATGTGAGGTGACGCTAAAAGGCAGTGTACAAAAGACTTCAAACCAAAGAGAAATAGGTCATTTTAATAAAACAATGTTACAGTAAATTATAGACCTCTGAGCCAAACATACACAGTTTTTAAAAAGCTGTAATGTGCTTCTTTTAATATAAACCAACTTAATTATAAATAGAGCCATAACCTTCCTTGCACATAAGGTCTAACTATTGCTGCACATTATTTTAATGAACTGAATTGTGTGCATAGGAAAAATTGTTACTTATAAATTAGTCTGGCCAGCTTAGACAATATGGTTTTATCGTTCAAAAGAGTGCAGATTGGAGTGATTGACAGGTGGGTTAACCAATCACAGGAGCTCATAGTCCAACACGGTATCTTACGAGGAAAAATTAAATAAGTAAATAAAAAAAGATAATAACAGAGAGGATCAATGTGCAATGGTGGCTGTGTTTACATCCAAACAAAAATCAGATTACTGTCAGATTTCTAGAGTTGTCTGATTATTAAAGTGACATGCAAACTGCAAAATCTGATGTAGGTAAAGAGAATATCAGAATGAAATCTGATTACTCATCAAATTTTGCTGTTTACATGTGATTTTAATAATCTGACAACTCCAGAAATCAGATTTTGAGAAAAGAGAAGTTTGATTTTGATCTAAACAATGTCCTATCAGCTCATCTTTTTTCTATATGCGTCAGAAAAATTATATGTTTGCTCTTCTTATTATTATATTTATTGTGACGTGTGAGCTGCTGTGTCCAAATAATTTCCATTGTGGTATCAATAATGCTCGTCTAAGTCTAAATCTAAAATAAAACCTGATAGAAGCTCTGCCTGTCTGAGTTTGGCCTATCCAGGGAGGGGAGGAGTGACTGAGAGATCCAGGTCTAAAATAGGACTAACCCATGACTGTAGTTCTGATTGTGGACCAACTCAAAGGGTGACAAATAAGTGAATGAAATGTATTCTGAACTCAAGAGGAACCAAACCAACTCAAAACAACTGCTTCATAAAAGGTCCACTTTTAATATTCTTACAAATCAGGAAGCCTTTTATCGTCATACCACTTATGTTTATCATTGCTTTGAATAAAATTTCTTCAGACGTCGTAAAATTTGAAGTCTGATTTTCATAAAGCTTTTACAGAGGTTGTCTTGTGGTCTTCAGTGTATTTGAGTGCATCGCTTAAATCCTGGAAAGTTGTCAAAAATGGTCAAATCCAAGCAAAGAAAATTACACTGTCCAAAATGATGAAACCGAACGAAGATATCTGACATGCGTTAATACCACAATTATAATTAATGTTGGCTATTTCTGTCTGTTTTGATCAAATGTCCCGTAATATGTGTAAAAGCTTAATAAAATAGACTGTGGATTGACATGAAGTAGTCCTGACAGGTCCGTAGCGTGGCTGTCCTCGCTGACGGTCTCCTTTTTATGTGTTTACAGCTGGCTGTGAAAATCGCAGAAGCCGCTGGTTGCCGTGACTACGCCAAACGCAAACAGGAAGAGGAAGCTTTGAAGGCCGCACAGAAGAGGAAGAAGGAGATCGCCTGGGGGTATGCCATTTCTCTACAAAACACGATAAAGCAGATGACACAACATTCGATAATCTTATTTAAATGTTTGATTGAGATGGGGTCAGTGAAATGTTGGTAGGGCTTTTGGATCATTCTTAGTAAACAAATTGATCTTAATGAGTTAGTAGTTATTATAAAGTGTTACCAAAATGAATATTGTTAAAAAAAGTTTGTGGTGGGGATGGATAAATAAAGCGAAAATGCAAAATACATACTGGTAAGTAATCATCATCTGAAAGAGGAACATCAAAAATAATCAATCAAAACATTTCCATACATTTCTTAATTGTTTTTTAAATTTTTACACTTTTTTGCAGATTTGAGGCCAAGAAAAGATGGGAAACCAAGAGCAATATGGGATTCATGTGAAGCCTCAAAGACTTTACACACTTTTGTAGAAGAAGGACTACAAGAATCGTACAGACATGTTTTTGATCGTCTGTCTTCAAGATGAAAGGATTGTTTATTTTTATTTATTTATATTCTGTGGAAATGTCAAGTTAATGAAGAAATATTGGTGCAAACTAACAAGTTGTCAGCTATACGTCAATAATATTTTGACATTTTACTAAGCAATTCTGTATCTTTGTGATCATTTCAACAAAGATTCTACTTACAGCCAGATCGGGTAAGTGAAGGAAACTGTGTATTTTTAGTATATACTGCGATCCAGATATTTTTGCTACCTAAGACCGATTAGATAGAGCATTTACCCCTGAACTATGCTTTTAAAGGGCCATTATCACCCACGAGAGTGTAGCGTATCCCTCTGAATGAAGACTGACATTTGAACTAGCAATTATTAGATTTAATGGCAATAAATCCCCCAATCTGCTGTAAGAGCTTTGTGCCTCTTCAGAGAGGAAGCTAAACAAAGACATAAAAAATATATATGTGTACATGTCATGTAGAAACAGAGGGAGGACCCAAAATGCAGGACTGCTTCAAAGTATTTAATGACAAATCCAAAAAAATCCAAAACTCAAACCTAAACTGCCATGACACGAGACAAGATGAAACTCTGACAGAGAAAATGGACCAACAAAGGGCAGAGGAGAAGACAGGGTATAAATGCACACAGACACAGGTGAAACACATTAGGGCAGGGCAAACAATCAAAACAGGAAGTAAGACTCAAAACTACAAGCAGACACGACAAATGTCAAAATAAAACACCAAAATGAGCAAATACAACCACTACAAACATGAACCATGACAGTACATTTGCTTCGTATAACATTTTTCTGTTCTTGTTTTCAAGGTAATTAAACAAAAATAAACCCTTCAAAATAAAAGCACTAAACATAAACGCGTAAGTTAATGGTTAACAACAGAAAAGTGCAATATAAAAATAATAATTAAAGATGTCACAAGAGGTTTAACCAAGACAAATTATACTATAAGTTGTTTACAGAGAGAGAGATATATTATACTGCTTTTGTTTTGCCAGGTGTTTTTTATTGCTCCTTTTATTTCTCTTTAAAAAACATGCATTCTTATTGTGTTTCAGGTTGTCTCTGCAAACCCACTTGTCTCCAAAAAACTTTAATGCCATACTGTGGAAAAGCAATAACATACGTGTAGACAAGGCATACGGTAGTCTTGGCGTAATATTTTAACCACCGCAATGCTTTGTTGGGGCTCTTCTCTCTCTAAGTGCTTCTAATACAGTAATAGTTTGCCGACCGACTGTATTCACCATGTACATTTGAAGAAAAACAAATTTAAGCCAGCAAAGAGGAAGCCATCCACACAAGCAGAAGAGGGAGCGAAATTGACAGATTCAAATTAATTCCTGAGGCGCCCATTGGTGTCTCATTGTGTTGTTTTCCATTACATTTCGGTGATTTGAGCGTTTTCCCCCTTCAAATTAAATCTGGTGTACATTACGGGATGAGGCGTTTATTTATTGCTGTAAAGTGGGTTAATCACGAAGGCGCTTCTTTCTTCTGCTGCTGAAGAGAAAGGGGAGATTATGTCCCTAATGCAATGTACAGGATAATGTGCGATAGGATTTATGTGAGAAAATGAAATTTGGCTGTAAAGTGTTTGCGAGGGTCCGTAAACTGAGGGGAGGGGAGTGGGGATTTGGCCCATACAGAGATATACACCATTGTCTTGAGCCCAAACAAGAGGCTCTAGCTGTTTACTAGAAGCCTACATTCGTTTGTCATTGTGCTAAGAGCTACTTCAGCTACTCTAAACTCCTCTAAACCAATGTATTCACTCCCACTTTGATCTGCTTTGATCTACAGCAATTTATAACCCCATTTTTTACTTGAGGAAATACAGACTGACTCCATAGAAAGAGTCTGTACAGCGTTTTTACTGGTGAATAAGGGTTTCTCATGCATAGACAGTATATATAAATGGACACAGCTGACCCACCATGTTCCAGATAGGAAGTGAGCATGGAGGCAGCTTCCGGCTCCAGCGACTCTGGCTCGAATTCACTTTGTACTGAAAAAAAAAACTGCGCCTCTCTTGTCCTAACTGCTTCTGTCAGGCTCCTCATTTTGGTCTGAAAATAATTAATTACCCGTAGGGATGTAACAGTAACCAAAATATCGTGATATCGTATCGTCAACGTTCTCACAATAATATCATGGACCATCACAATATATCGAATTACAAGTCTCTTTGCTTAAATTAAGAGTTATGGTGCAGAAATAGCTAAAAAAGACAGAGAGAACTACATAGACCATGATCCTTTGCTCCATTTCAGTGCAGACTACATGAAGAAATAACAGTTCGAAGCACTTTTAAGTCTTAGTTCTTTGGGTTAAGTCTTGTCAAGGCATTTTAAGAGGAAAAAGTAGCATATTAACAGTTTTGTTAGACTCCACAAAATATAAATAGATATAGTTACATCCCTAATCGTGAGCCTCCCCTCCATATCGTGAGTTTTCCCACGATATCACAATACGGTTCATACCATGACGATACCGTATCGTGAGACTTGGATATCATTACACCCCTATTAACCCGCTCTATATAAGATCCTGGTGTTTTTATTTTGCTATTTTGTCCGTAAATAAATTCATAATCCTAATATGGAACTTGCTCCAACTTTGCTCCTGTAACTACTAGCCTCTGTGAGCCCTATTTGACTGGAGCCAAACGCTATTTATTATAATTTTTTATCACTTTTTATTTTATTTTTGAAACTGTTTTTATTATTTTTATTTTATTATTTATTTTGCATGTATATGACATAACAAAAAAAAAAACCACACACATACACTAGATAAAAAAGAAGGTGCCAGAAGAGGCAAAAAACCCAATGGTCCTTATATTATAGCATCACACTCCCTTCCTTCCGTCCAATTCTTTATACAGTCTGTGTTCTCATGAGAAGGCACTGGTATTGGTGGTTCACTGTCTTACTTAAGTTGAGTCTGCTGTTGATTTAGTCCTGGTTTAATATTCGCTAAATAAATCTAGTTTTGTTGCCTTGTAGATGTGGAGGGTACAGGCTCAATGTTAATGAGGTGATTATTTAAATATATTATTGTTCATGCTTTTTGAACAACTTTTGAACACCTTTGGTCTTGTTGTATGATTTCATATACATGTGATTAATTCATTATGTAAGTAATTAACTCTAAAAAGGGGGCATTGTGCTTGTAGGGTATTACTGGTCATTTCTAACACATAACATATTTAGATCACTATGTTACCTGTTATTAGGGCTGGGTATCATTAAAAAGTTGCCAATATGATACATAAGCCACAATACGATACATATCTCGATACATTGAGCTTTCATATCAATTTGATACGGCTCAATTAAAAAAAAAGCTAAATCATGGCTGTGATACTAAAAGTCTTTGTTAAACCACTTCTTGAGCAAAGTGAATATGAAACACAAACATTTACTCATCAAAACAGTGAATGTGTTGCATAAAAGAGTTTCCTTCCTCTGAACAAGCAACAAAACTGTAGCGCTGTAACAAAATGATTGAGTAAAATATAACAAAAAATACTCTTGGCGATATATTGATACAGCAGCCCATGATATCAATATGTATCATCACATTTAGCAATACAATATATCAGCATTATGAGATTTTTACACACTCTTTGAAAATGCTATATTTGCCAAAACAATTAAGATTTTTAATAAATTTCACTTACATTTTTGACACTCTCGAGCCTCCCTTCTCTTTGCTCTCTGTGCTAAATCATTCCCCCTTCAGAACCACTATCGCAGTAAAATCAGTGTGCATCCCGCTGATGAAACTGTGTATTATTTTGCGTCATGCTTTTGTATATTTATGGAAAAAGGCTGTGTGGGAGCGTGGGTGACGTAGGCTCGTACTGGTAACCATAGGAAGGGTTCAAATAGTGCGTGGGAGTGATCACTAGATTACATGTTATAACGTGGTAGAATACACTATTACTCCCAAGTTGATTTTGCATAATACCCCCTTTAATATTACAGTATATACAACAGTTTAATATGGAAAGTCAGGGCTCAATTCCCAACTATGGAGTCAGATATTCTAGCTACAACACTTGGCAGTTCCAAAGCAAAACGTTTCAAGTGAAAATATATTCTTAACTTTACATTCAAATTTACTTACTATCCTAACTTTGACTCTGACCCATTGATCCTCTAACCCAAAACCAGAGCTAGAGTACAGCCAACATTCAGTATTTACCTTACTTTTGTTTCAAACCAACTTGCCTTCTCTAGTTTTTGGATCTCTTTTGATCTAGTCTGTATAATGCATTTTTTCTCCCACCCATTTCCACTTTGTGAATGTCAGATTCTGTTTTAATTACAAAAAAGGAAGGACGCTACAGAAAAAGCGGCCCTGATAATTGCTTTTATTCATAAACCTCACTTATTTTCCCCTAACTATAAAAATGATTGCTTAGCTTCAAGGTAATAGGAATTAAAATTAATCCAGCTAAGTTGTTTGCATTGCACATATTTGGACGTGGCGTTGTGTAGGTCGAATCTGTGTGAGGATAAAAATTACCCAAACCTCAGCAGTAAAAGTTTAATTATATTTTTAAGTCACCTGATTGTAAAACACGTGGAGAGTGCATTTTGTATCATTCACATTCAACCTAATCGCGAGCTGTCACTTGCTGAGAATTGCTGCTAATTAAACTATTAATTATCTTTATAATGAGACAAGACTTGAAACTGCGTCAAGCACATCAAAAGACCAGCGTGGGATTTCTCTACTTTGATGACGGTTGTGAAAAATATATCTAAACGAGGAGCGAAGACACAGATGCTTTAATAATGTGAAGAGATGGTTTAGGGCCTTTCTGAAGTTATGGAGAAGTCTTCAACAGCTCTTATACAGGTTTCAAGGTTCATAGACCTTTTTCACAACGGCCGAAAGTGCCACAAATGTAGGGTAAATGTAACTCACAGTTAATGCTTTTCTGTGGCAAAATATCTGTGGAAATGTCTTGCATATTTTCCACCACCTTCATCAATCTGCCCCATCACCAAATCTTCATCCAACAAGGTCGCCAAAGGAACATATTCTGTCCATGAAGAATTTATCCACAACTATCAAGGTAAAAAAGACGAAAACTTAAAGGCGAA